TTTTTTTATATCTGTCTTCCGTTGTTTGCCCTGAAGATGACGCCGTTTGTGGTGTTGTAAAGTTGTTCATTTGTTGGCTTGATATTAGGATGATAAGGCTACTAATCTCTATGGTAGTAATATGAGCTAGCAAAAGATCTTTTGCAAGCCAAGCTCTTACCTAGTTCGGATCATTGACACTTTTGTATTTTTAGCACATCAAATAAGCATGAGTAGAAACATAGGCGTTTACCCTTCTTTTTCTTCTTCCCATTCTATTGTCGTGGTCAGAAACGATTGGTTATAAGAGTGGCATTGTATGTGTAATTATGGTCATGTCCTCAAATATGAAATATCTGAATCCTAAGGTTGTAGAGTTATGTTTAGGTGTATTTGGGTATACTTTGGTTGATGAACAGATGATGAATTGTTTATCTGTTGACAGATTGAAGATATTGTCTTTTGAAAGATATTGGTAAACTGCTGTGCAGAGACGACAAGATGCAATGCTTCCATGCTCTTCAAGAGTCAATCATGAACAAGAAAGAGCAATTAAATTGAATAGTGGATAATATTTTAGTTCCTTAGGCGGTAGATAATTTCTATAATCAAGATGAAGTATAAACGTAAGTAATTCGGAAGACTTAAATAGGATGAGATGTTTACAAATTTAGTGGTCCTGAAGATTTTTGTTGATTTCTTGGATAATAGGCCCCTCTTCCCTCAGTTGGAGATCTAATAGTTATTTTTCAGCCAAACCATTTAGCCTCTGAACCATAAGTTATCTATATAATAAAAACCAACATCTTTGGTTCAAAAGTTAGAATGCTAAAACCACTGTTACATCCACCTGAGTTTCTGCTCGGATTTCTTCAATTCCTCCATCAATGCCCGAAGCAAGTCAAAACAAGTCCATTCCTTGTTAATTACACAAGGTCTTGTCATCATTATAGGTCTATGGATCAATACCCTTCTCTGCAATGATCTCATCCGAACAAACCTCAATCTCTCTAGTCCTCGCACAAGTATCACTCTCTTTGTTTACATGCTTCGCATCAAGCCCTTCCCAGTAACCCATGATCTCCTCTGTTCTGAAAGCCACTGCTGCTCTCTCATTTGTATAGAATTTCACTAGGGATTCCCTTTAAATGCATGATGTGTTAATAGAGGCGAACTAAATTATCTGTTTGTCTGAAATGCCATTTATCTCTCTTTAGTCGCAAATTGAAGATGTATATTAGTGCACATAGGAAGTTTATGAGATTCTTCAACCTATGTATTGTTTTCGCATAATGCGATCCTCAATGCTTTTGGCAGAAAAGGGCAAATTGAGTGCTCAGAGGAGTCATTATTTTTCCAAGAAAAATGGTAATCGATGATGATGTTAGTGTGGTCTTTTGAGCTCGGATAGGGCAATTTTTGTTAGTATTCTCTCTTCTTTTCTGAATGTGGATGACGGCTTTGAACTACTTCAAGGGAAGCAACATAGTAAATTCATGGATACATGATTAGGAGTAAGAAAGAACTGAGCGTTAATATAGAGACGACATTGATAGCATTTTACAGGAAAATGGTCTGTAGAGTGTTTGATGCAATGAGTGTCAAAGCTGTCTGCTTATGAAAATGTTGTATAGAACTCTCCTTGCAGGAAAAGATGTCTGCTTATGAAAATGTCATTGTGGGGAAGCTGAGGCTTAAGGGCAAAGCTTTGAACGTAAAGGACTGTGGCCTCAAGAAGAAAAAGAAACACAAAGACCGATATGTAATAAGCAGTGATATTGGCCACGATCAAGTGACAGGTTGTAGCATGTTTATTTAAAATCGACTGTGTTTCCCATTTTTTGTTTTCTACCCTGCTTGTACACCGTCATATACTAACAACCCCTGATTTGGCATTGCCTGAAATCAGATAATTGATCTTGTTATGTTACAAAGTCGGTTCCTTTTCCCTTTTTTTTTTGTTTTTAACTTGAAGCAACTTGGTCAAAATCAGTTATCCTGCAGGTTGCCTTCATTTCTGCATCTGTGAATTAGACTTGTGACTTGTCATATGATATTTCTAACTGAGGTACTGTTGTGTCGGTTGCTTGTGTACGATTCTGTAGAGGCCGTAGCTTTGCCCAATTTCGCCCATCCCTCAAAACAGTGAGTCCCTCTAAAAGAATATTTAAAATCTTATAACAAGTTTTTTTTTTTT